TAGTCGTGTTATTGTTAAGTCCATTTTGAGGTGATATCATTTGTGAAATCACTATTTTCCAATTTAACCTGTTTGACACTTCGCTGTATTTGAATAAAGTATTGTTCATTGAAGAGATACAATGCTGCGTTCATTGAATAGTTTTAATATGCAATACAATACATGTCCAATCGACCACTGTTGATGCACTCAAATACAAGTGCAAGCACACTTTTCATTTCCTCTGATTTCTCAATTTTTTTCCGCTGTTTTTTTTCCAAGGTTGATTTCGACACTTTTGGGGGGGTTTTTGTAAGTGTTTTACTTACGGCACTTGCAACACAATAAGGCCATATAAGTTCTGAAGATTAGAGGAAGCTACAAGAGAGTAACGAACACAAAAAAGAAGGAGGGGAGATGAAAACGATAGATGTTAGAGATAGGAAAGAAGGAGCAAACCATACCAGGGCACCCAAGATTAATTTCGAGTGATCATATATCTCATATGAATTTCGTAGTACATGCGCAGAATTTTTAGCTTTAGATTGATATATACTGCATTAGTGGGTAGTGCAAGGCTTAAACTTAAACGATAAAATAAGTGAACGCCATTTCAAGTGGACGCCACTGTATCTCACACACACACACACACACACACACACACACACACACACACACACACACACACACACACACACACACACACACATAAAGTATTCGTGTACTCATCCATCCATTCATTCATTCTCACGCGCCAACTCTTTCGTCACAGAAATCATCAAATTGCTGTCCCCGGGGTTTTATGCACCCCGCATAAGTTAGAAAAGTTTGATCATTTTTTTGCATAATTTCGGATTATTTTCCTTTATCACCCTTTGTTAAAATTAACCAAATCGCTTAATTTCACATTTTTGGGCTCAATTTGCATGATTTCAGATTTCTTTCTTTTTTTGTGTGCATAAAACCGCGGGGGCAGAAATAGGTGTAAGCGACTTTCCTAGGAATACATTCATTTACAAAACATAAATCTACAAGTACAAGATCCCAACCCCACAGAGCTGACAAAACAACTCACCACTGTCTTTTTGCAAAGTGTGGCTGCTGGTTTCAGGGCCTACTACTACTACTACTACTACTACTACTACTACTACTACTACTTCTACTACTACTACTACTACTACTACTACTACTACTACTACTACTACTACTACTACAATCAGCATATTTATCATCAGTGGAAGACGCAAAAATCACCTTAGGACTTTCCCACTAGAATTCTGCACTGTACACCCTTGGAATACACAGCTATACCCTGACTCCTGAAACTACCAGCAGACCAACAATAAACCGTAGCATTATTGTCTTCGGCTTTTATCTAGTGCTTAACACTAAAATGTCTCCACTGCCCACCACCAGAGTGCCCTTGATCTGGCTTGCATTTTCTGTCCTTTTAACGGCATGATCCCCCTAGGGTATGCCTACTTTACTTTAAATGCTAATTTAATTAACAATACATTATTTTAGCATTTGCTATATAGCACAAATTCCCGCTTAACCTCAAACGATTTTCTGTTCGTGAAGGAAGGAAATGAGCTCGGGGGTTTGAGGGTGGGGGTGGGGTGGGGTGTGATTGGGCACACCTGCCAAACTGTAAAACGTTAAAGTTAAAAGTAAAAGACACCAAACGAAACCGCCGAGAAAAGCCCAGGTGACAACAGAAGGTACTGTTGTCCTTGTGTCAGTTACAGTTATTGAGCGAGCTACCTGATCTGTTTGAACCTGGTGCGAGACGTGCATCCATTGTCATAAAATAAAACGCGTGAACGCTCGGTCGCCGGGTCGTGTAGTGCAGACTGTCACGACAAATATTGGGGATATGCAAATTTTAATGTAATGATCTCACTCCCAACACAATCTTTTATTGTAAGTAAACAGATTCGGAGTTTTCTTGTCCTTATGTATTGTTTTTACACCCTCGTCGACACTGGTTACGACCCTTGCTGAGAAAACTGAGAGTGAGAGGGATACAACGTCCCATCAGAAAGACAAAAATATACATGTGCAATAATAATAATAATATACTGGATAAAAATTCTCCCTACTCGAGAGTTGAACCCGGGTCTCTTGTGTGCGACGGCTAAGAAGATAACTGATAAGGTCGTTTTTAAGGACAAGCGGGCTAACCCAGATTTCGGGAGGTTTCCAGAAATTTTGACCTACACCAAAAGTGGGCTTTGCCCTACCTATAGGAGAAGACGTTTGGTTTCATTGGTGTTTATATTTGTTTGGTTATAGAGAAAACTCTCCTGGTCTTTTAAAGAAACTGAATAAGGGTCCAAAAACTTTACCTTCAATTTTCTCAGATCAGCGTTTTTCGGGATAGCCCCCTTGTGCTTTAAAAGCGACCATAAATGCTTAATTACAGTCTTACTGTCGGGCACTGGTAAATTCAAGTTTTAAAACCGCTGCTCGGAGAAAAATGTTTTCTGTGTTTCAATATTTATTTCGGGTACAGTGTTAACTTAAGGACATGCCCACAAAAAACTTTCTAAAACCAAAATTAGATATTCTTCAAGAACCTGGTTTGAGCTCAGTCAAGGAAATGCACTTTTCTGAGCAAGGCCTGCATCGCTAATTAATAATTGTGTCTTATCATCAAGCAAATTGAGTGTCATTGCTGTAGTGAAATCAGGCGCCCGTCAAAGCAATGAAATTGAAGAAACCGACATTTTTTCAGCGCGTTGACCAATTTTTATTTACTTTTTTTCTTCCTTTTTTGACATTTGGATTAGACACTTTAACTTAAATATGTTTTTCTTTAAGTTTCTAATTCCAATGGATTTACTTTAAAACATTGATCAAAAGCACAAACAAGTAAATTTGCAGTTTCTAAGGACATATCAACTTTGAAAGTCACAAAAGCGCCTTTTTCTCGGTTTTATAATTTAATTTCTGACAAAAGCAAGGCAACTGAACAAACTGTAAGATTATACCAATAACTATATATAATATGCCATAAACTTGACAAACACCTGATTCCATCATGTCAAAGTCCTGACACAATTATCCAACCATCTCACCACTCGTCGTGTAGGCTTACTATAACTATTAACTATTATAATACACTATTGATAATACAAGTGGAAATCATGATGATAATGATGATGATGATAATGCTGATGATAATAATAATAATAATAAATGATAATAATAATAATAATCATCATCATCATCATAATAATAATAATAAAGTTA